AGGGAAACAAAAAGGAAAATTGTCTGAAGCATAAATTCAGAATGTGGTATTCCTGTCAACTTTGCCACAAATCTTCCACTTTCACCAAATAAATGTTTCCCCTCCCCCATTGTCTTCATTAGATAACAATAATAAAAAAAAAATGGTGGTGAGAGGAACCTAGTGAGGATTACAACCCTTGGCGTTTTACTGGGTTGTCATACAAGGTACACAGATTGCCACTAGTACTGCATTTGATTTAGAACAGGATGTAAATAGTAACATGGTTGGTTTATTAAATATTGGTCAAATTGTCCATGTAGTTATTCACAATTTTAAAAAAGATTTACTGTTTGTATTTGAGCGCAACTTTAAATGAACTGATGACATCTCTTTTATTAATTAAAATAAAAGTGTGTTATTGTTTTGGATTAAGGCAATATTGGTTTTATGAAATCAGATTTTCTAAAATGTTCTACAGTTTTGCGGATATATTAATAATTTGTAGAAACTGATATGTCCATTGCTTAGAATATTTTACGTCTTTTTGTACAAGGTTAAATTACCGTAAATTCCGACATTGATAAACACAGTTGTAAAAGTGTTGACTTTTTAAAATGTTATATTGATTTTAAATAATACAAGCTGGTAACCCACAAGGACTTGCAAAGGTCACTTAATTTTCTCCTGCATCCCCTTCCCAAAACTATTCCCTCCTTCTCTCCTCCTGGCAGCCCTTATCCTTTCTCCTTTCCTTTTTTCCTTCTCTCCTTCCTGCTCACAAACTGACTTTTCTTTTATATGCCCTCCCACTCTGGTCTTCAGCTTTATTTATTATTCATTTGCTTCATTTATATGTCACCCTTCTCCCCAGTGGTGTCCCAAAACAGTTTACAACATTCTTGCCTTCCTTAGTTTATGCTCACAACAACCCTGTGAGACAGGTTAAGCTGAGAGCGAATGGCTGGCCTAATTTTACCCTGCAGCTTAGATGACAAAGTGGAGATTCAAACCTTTGTCTCCAGGTCCTAGTCCTCTAACCATACTACCACACCGGCACTCAGCCAAGTTGCAAAAGTCATACAGTAGCAAGCTGCTCAGTTGAGTTGGGCAGCAGCCATTGACAGTGCTGGCCAAGTTGTGTGGAGGATGCCATTCAGTCCAAGTGAGTGGTGTGGCTAAGTCGTAACCACCACACCTGGATGAGTTGCACACATTGCACGGTAGCAAGTTGTCTGGTGGTTGCTGCTGGGCCTAGCCCCTGTGAGTCCTCTCATCAGGGCAGGAGGGAGGTAAGCAAGGGTGTACTGGAAGGCCAAGTTAACCCCAAATGTAACCTTCCTCCTATCTTTTCCTGACAGAAACCAAGGTTTGAATCCTGGTAAGACTGTTGTGGTTGTATAGCAATCTCCAGTGAGGTTGCCTTTCTTAAAGGTACAGGCACAGCTTCTATTATTGGGGGGGTGTTTAACACCCCCAACTTTTTTGTATAGTTAGATTTCAGATATTTCTGCAAACCTGGGGTTTTTCTCAGGTGTGTAGAAAGATTTGTCTTGTCTTTTTCATGGCTCCAGGCTCCAGTATTCACACAGGGGTCACATTGAAAATAGATATATTGTTTGTGCAGTGAATATATGCATTGATTTCTTAATCAATTAAAAAAGACAAAATGTCATATGTTTAAAATTCTTCCTGTGCTACAGAGTAATGCATTTTATTTGTTATTTAATTGCTTTATATATTTCTTATTTGCTGTTCAACTATAAAAAAAGCTTCTTAAAACATTTTAAAATGGAGGCATGCATTAATATTAGCTAACATTAGTACTATTAATAATCTCTGGTGGAAAAGCTGTTACAAAGTCAGAGAGACTACTCTTTATGCTATACATTCTAATGTCTTGTTGCTCTACAATATTTGTGAAAATATAAATCATAGGAAACATTTTTTACAAAGATCATACATAAACTACTTAAAGACTTGAATGTCTTAGAAATTACTAACCTTTATTTCTACGAGAACCATCCATGTTAGCAAATTCAATATGGCTTTCATCAGCCCAGTAGAGTCTTTTGTTCACATAATCTATTGTAAGAGCCATTGGTCTAGAAATCTGTGTTTCTATCACAACTGTCTGGTTAGAACCATCCATGCCAACTCGGCCAATATGAGGATACTCACAACAATCGATCCAGTACAAATATCTAGGAAACAAAAAAAAATTAAGTACTTTGTTAATGATAAAGTAACTCATAGTAACAATATATGTTTATCCTGCAATTATTTGTTAGGTTGCAATCTTGAACTAATTAGAAAGTGTGGCTTGCTTTCAAATAAAATACTTTGGGGCAGGATGCTGCTAGTAAATTAACTAGATGGCTGCCAAGTAGGAGTTATTTGACTTAGTTCCCTGGTAAAAAAAAGAAAAGTAAATGGATAGAGTACATCAGAGAATAATGATTACTTCCTTTTCAAGTAATGCCATATGGGGGGAACCCTCCTTTTACAGTGGTATAGAAGAAATACTAATGAATCAAGTACTGCATTGTCATTCCCATGACTTGAAAAAATTATTTTACAGCAGCAAGATCTATGATATGATGGCTTATGCTCTCCAAGTTCACCATTCAAAAGCAGCTTAGAAAATAATCAAAAACAATGCATGAAAATTACTTTAACCCTCCTCTGCCTCTAAGAAGTGCCTTGGAACGACTAACAGCCCAACTACGCATTCAGGTTCTTAACACGTTGCATTTGGGATCTCTGGAGGACTGGCTTTAAAAAAGTGAAGGAGAACCCAAAAGGGCTCGCAACACTACTGCAGGGGGAGGAAGGTCTCCTGTCACCCCTGCTCAAGCCACTGTTCTGTGCAGAGACAGTGTTAGAGGAAACGTATTTCCCCATTTTTGCGGCTTCAATTAGAGTGTTTTGTGCACATAAAGCAGCAAAAAACAGAGAAATAACTCCCTCCCAGCTCTGGTATGGAGTTGGAAAAATGGCTTGGCAGGGGGAGTCAGGAGCCCTCCCCCCAGTGGCAGTGTTCAGAACCTGTTCAGGCTCTCTTTTATTTTATAAAAGCCATTCACCTCAGCTGCTGCATGGCTGTGGTAAACCTCAGTTGGCTTCAGGGAATTCAGACCCAATGTTAAAAACCCAAACATGTTGTTTGGTGTAAGGTAAAGAGGATGTTACCTATTGCATAAAAAATTTGTAGGAAGTGGCACTAAACAGCAAACAAAAGTCTTCAGGTTTGCATAGTTTACTTATCCAAAAAGATAATTGCTCCAATATATGCTAACGGATGCCAACCCCCCGGTCCAGATGGGGGTCCTCCTGCTTTTGCAGGCTCCTCTCCACCACCAGCCAGCTGGCCAGCAGGGGAACCCGACCCTCAAATGCCCCAAAATGCAGCATGATGATGTCACCCACTAGTGACATCATCACACCACTGACTTCACATGACAACACTCTAGTTTTTGAGCAAAAATCTATGGTAAATTTGAGCTCAAACCATAGAGTTTTGCTCCCAAACTAGAACATTGCCGTGTGATCTCAGCAGCGTGACGACATCACGTGTCATCACACTGTGAATGCTTTGCATGCAGCAGAAGATCCTGGAAAGGCACGGGGATACCCCCACTGGAAATAAGGTAGGACCTGGAAGCCCTATATATGCTAGACAATTCAAATCTTAAAAATACATGTGTATGCATGCATACATATGTGTGTATATTCCTTAATGGATGAAAATAATTAGAAGTTTCCTGTAGGATTTTTTAAATTAAATTGACAACAGTACTTTAGTGGAAAATTTGAAGAGGCAGTAACTGTATATTTAATGAAATGCATGCAGAGAACATATGTTGTGAAACTGCACTTATGGACACAAACACAAACCATCACATTTGTGTTTTTCTGCAAGTTTATCACTACTTAGAGGTAAAATTACCACTAGAATTACTCTCTTTTGGAGGATATGTAGGTAGGCCATCTGGAAAAAAAGAGGAAGAGAATTCTGAATCTTCCACTTGGTCATTTTTAAACATTAGATGATCAAAGCTTTGATTGCCTCTTGTATTCTCTACATAAATGAACCTAAAACATTATTCTCCATAACTTTTGATTATGAGAAGAAATATATTTCATAGTGATAATTAATCTAACTAGATATGAATAATTCACTACTAATTTACACTGTAACTCCATACCCAACTTGAGGATCTAAAGAGAGATCTCTAGGGAACTTCACCCTTTTGCTCACAAGAACTGTCGGGTACAAGCCATTGAGTTTTGATACTTCAATAATCCTTTTTTCTGTGTCGGACCAATAGAGATTCTTCCCAACCCAGTCAACTGCTAGTGCATTAGGAACCGCTGTGTTATGAACTACCTAGAGGAATTAAAACAGTATAAGTAATAAATACTCAAAAGATCCAAAAACAAAATCTTGTTTTATAAAAACATTGAAATGAAAAATGTATCCTTCAATTTGTGTTTGTACATGTGCATGTTTGTGTGAAGAGAGAAAGAGAAGTTATTTAGAGTTATACTAAGCAATAAACACTCTTCTATGTCCTTTGAAGTCAATAGGTTTATAAAAACAACGTTTGAGTTCAGTGGCACCTTTAAGACCAACTAAGTTTTATTCAAGGTATAAGCTTTTGTGTGCATGCACATGAGCCTATACCTTGAGTAAAACTTTGTTGGTCTTAAAGGTGCCACTGGACTCAAAATGTTCTGCTGCTTACCAGCATAGCTACTCAGCTGAATCTAGGCTTAGAAAAGTATAACTCTTGTTTAAACTGCTAGTTAATGTTGCAGTTTTAAAAATTGATGGTGAAGGGATATATTTCTTGTGAGACATAAATCATACAAATAAATTTCCAAACTAGAATGTTACCATGTTATAAAAAAATAACTTTTTTATGTTTCCCCAAGAGTGACAGCTAGTTAGAAATGTCAGTTTTGATAAGAATAAAACCATGAGTAATATATGCTAAGTATTTTCCTATGCAGAGAAATAACTTTTTTTGAAATGTGGTCTGTGATAAAGTTACAACTATTTCTCCAAAATAAAGAGACTGCCTTCCATCATCTCATGTAGGAGTCTTTATGGATGCTTATCATGGACCAACAGAAGTTCAGAAAGTTTCAAATACCTGGTCCACCTAAACTTGCTAGAATGTACTAGAGACTAATCAGAAGCTCTGATGCACCCGTAGAGCTTCAGGCAAACAGAGTATTCACATCCACATATATGAGACAGAACACCATAGTTACAATGCAAATAGACATACAGAACTGATCTCTTCAAGGACAGCAATGAAGGAAGCTTTGTGTAAGAGTTCTGTTTGCAGATCTCACACCTATAAGTATAACCTTTTAACTTTCTGGAAGAGGTATAATAACAAAGTACCTGTTGTAAGTGACATGCAGAATAAATGTGAAGGATATAAAATGTGATGCTCTGTTCAACATTAACAAACACATGTAATATATACTGCATGTTCCCCTACGTCCCATCTCTGATCAACCCAGCAAAACATAAACTATACTTTGATTAAACTATGTATCATGTGACCAACAAACTTTCTCTATGTAATAGCCTTATTAGTGAAGAATGGCGAAAATGTTTATTTTACAGGATTGTCCAATCCCACATTTAACTTGAGAGCTCATATCTATCATTATCCCGCTTCTCCTATCTTATGTTGCATTTATAATAATTCTAACTGGTTTTTACTGTGCAAATCTACAAACAAGCTGCTTGTTATATAATACTGCAATTTAAATAATATTGCTCTTTAATTCCATGATTACTTCCCAATCACCTTGACATCACTTCCATTCAAATTCATTCTATTTATTCTACTGCCATTAGGTCTGCTGGAATCAATCCAATAGATGAATTCTTCTCTGTAATCAAAGTCTACTGCGATCACATTGTTCAGACCCTATAAAGAAAAACAATTTTTTTTTTTCTGGAAACAATTTAATACATTGAATATGACAGCTTGTATAAGACACTACTCAAGTATTAATCAAAGGAAAAAAATACAATACACTGTCTCTTGCACATTTTAAAATCTGATTTATATCTTAAATATAACATTGCATGAAAATGAAGCTGCTAGATTGTGTGGAGTTAACAATCATGTAAATTGGGAACTCAAAACCAAAAGAAAATCGTTTTCTTCTCACTTTAGATATGTCATACAACATTAACTTTGTTCAGCTGTTATTTGGAGTCACATTCTCCTGATATTTTATTACACATCAATGAATTGTTACATTACAATTCATTTAACCTCAAGTATGTTATGAAAAATCTCTTACTAGGGTAGTTTTGATTGGTGCAGGTACACAAATGTTTTTGTTATACAAACCTATTCAGGAAAATGTACAGCCAATTTAGATATTCAGGAAGAATGTGTAACAATTATCATAGGAAAGTATATCTAAGGCTGACATACTTGAGTGCTCCCTGACATCAAAAACTCCATTCACGAGAAAAGCTAGTAGTTCTAGCACAGGCCCTTGTTTTCTACAAACTGGCACTTTTAATGTGGTAGATCATCCAAAACCCCGTCTCTCATCCATCCTCTTTCAGTGAAAGCTTTAAGCACGCACTCCCCTTCTATAAACCAAAAACCACATTCTGTTTCCCCATCTTTCCTAATTTTTTAATTTAAAGAACACGTTAGGAAGATTAATCTAGCAATCTAATTCATGACAATGTCTCTGGAATGCTTATTTCATCATCACAGCAAGACTGTCACATCAGAGTGGAATATTAGGCAAAGGACTTGTTTTTAGCCTAGTACAATTTTCTTGATTTACACATAGGTAATGGTATTCTAGGTGTGAACACTCTACCAATTCAGTTATTACAGTGAGAAGATAACAAGTAGGAACCTGAGAGAAACTCATGGAGAAGTGAAATCCTATACTCCTGTCGAACCTTATATCTTTCTCCCTCACCAACTTGCCTGTCACCCAGAGCCTCAAATAGCTGGGCCTGGAGAGAGAGACTTGGATAAGGATGCATGCAGGATGTGCTTTCTGCTAATTAAGTCGATTGCCATCACCACTAACCTCCTGAAAGTGGTGGTTAGGAAATGCTCTCCACTCCATTCTCCTCCCTTTCAACAGGTTTCTGGTAGCATTAAGAGGCTTAGAACAGAAAGCACAAATAATGTCCTTTTGGTTTCAAGTTTAGCTCCCTCTGTCCAGTTGATTGGGGTTGGCTGCTTCAAGAATTGTCATCTCATGTTCTCTTCACTGCCACTTCCTCATCCCTCCCTTCTCCTCCTGCCACCTCCTCTTCTCACCACACCTTGTTCCTGCTGCTTTTCTCTTCCTTCCCCCAACTCTCCCATTGTTGCTATCGCTGTGTCCTTCTCTTCTTCCTTATTTCTTCAGATCCCTTTTTTAAAGTCCCCATTGTAATATGGAGCATGATGTCACAAAAATCTTGGTTGGCGTTCTGTTATTTCAGTTGAAAGCTCTGCAATAAGGCAAACAGTGCTTCTTCACTTTATTTTTTAAAAAAATTAAAAAGTTTTTGGGGTTTTCCTCAAACCTGCAGGCTCTCCTGGGTTTGTAGAAATATCTTATTTCTACATAGCTCTTCTGTATTTTTGATCTGCAATAGGGGGTCATGTTCAAAATTAGATATAAAGATAATTTCAAACTATTTTAATATAATAAGCACCTAGAATTGTTTCCTGGAATTGTTTCCACCCTGAAGCTGGTTGTCTTTAGGTAGAAACCAGGTAACCATCCTACTTTTTGCCTGCCACCTCAAAAAAATTTCTTTGTCCTACATTTTATTGCAAACTTGTGCCCCTTGTAGAAAGATATGTCTTGCCTTTTACAGCGGCAATCATCAGATTTAAGTATCTGGTCGACTTTGCTAATCGAATATAAGATTGTGAAGCAAAGCACCCTCTGTTCCCTCCAAAGGGTTAATATGAATACTAGTGGGCCTATTCCAGTTTGCAGGTGTTCGTAATTGGGCCTCTCTGCCTACTCTTAGGCCAGAGCTAAGAATGTGATGATAGGCTCTTCTGGGAAACTTGTGGTCCACTGGATGGGAGGGGAGAAGTGTGAGCAATGTTGTAATCTTCTAGAGGGTTCTAGCAAGTGTACACCCTGATTGGATGTGAAAAACCACCTGATGCCAAATGGCCTGAGACTATTATTGACCTAGAGGTCAGGGAGAAGCCATGCTGACTTTTTGATTCTTCTGAACTGAGGCCTGGACTATGCTAAGCTTGCATTGCAATGAACAGCTATGTAGATGATGATTAAGCCTCTAACTTGGACTCTAAGACTTCAAGATAGTGCCATTAATACCAGGTATGAGGTAGGCAAGTTAGCTGTTTTGTTTTGTGCTGCAAGGCTGTAGAGATGTGTTGCCTAGTATCAGGTCTGTTCTTTAAATATTTAATAAATCTTATATATTCTACCAAGGTCTGGTTTCTTGTGTACACTTAGCCCTGGGAACCCACCAGGCCCAGGCTTGGGCTTCTTGACAAAGATACTAACATAAATACACACAGTCTACACAGAATTAATAGACTTACTCTGTTACTATTAATAAAGTGAAAAGAGAGTGGGGTAAAATATCAAATACTTTCTAAATAACAATATGCTAGCTCACACAAAACACCAGTCCAAATCTGAATACTATAAGAACTTAACTAGAACAGGCAATGATGCCCTCCCCATTAGCCACTGAGCCAATTCAAAGGTGAGCATTAAGCCCCTAATTCTTGTCTAGCTTGGACTGAAGAACCGTGTCCTGCCCCACCTCACTTGCTGATGCTGCCAGCTGGCCAGCCAATGAGGAAACAAGAGGCTCTACTGTTTCAACAAAGTCCAAGGCATACACAGTGCACCCTTGTTTGGGTGTTTGATATCTTATGTCTATATTTCATGGTGTACTAGATATGTCTCTGATGCTGTTGAAATAGCACCTAAGGTGCTAGAAGAGGAGGAAGGGGGCAGAGGCAAGAGAACTCTCTAACTAAGTTGGTTTTAGGTAAGGTTAGCAGGACGGAAAGTTTCTGAATGTCCATCCAAGTGTTCAGAACTGGGCTTGCAATAGTGAGATGTGCTGATCTATGCTATAAAGAACGGTTTGTTCAAGCCCTATTCCAAGGCAAGTTCAGATGAGAGAATAGCCCATCACAATGCACATTTTTATTTCACGAAAATCTAGCAAGTGGACAAATTATATATAATCATTAACTGCTTCCACAATGCTTCCAGACTATAAAACACACTTCAGTGAGATCCATTACTGAGTTGACACCACTTCAAACTGAGGAAAAGTGATAGAAAATTATCCATCAATTTCTTCAAATGTAAGCTAAGTGCAACCATATTTGCAAGCGTTGTGTGGACATTGAAATGCGCACAGAAGGGAAAGATCCTCCTTATCAGAAGCAACTTATCACCAGAAGAAAGTAAGAAAGTAAGAGAGATATCAGGAATTGTAATAAAAATACTATTATTAAAAATAAAGATTACTTCCATTCTTTTCTTTTATTGCCCCATGGGTAAATTGTGCAGAATTCTAAACAGAATTCCAAGCATCTCATGAATCTGAGCCTTATTTGTGGAGAATTTGGGGGAAATTAAAACACTCCAGATTAAAGCAACAGTTGAGCGAGCACTTCTTCTGGCTGTAAGGAAAACTGACAATCTCAGATGTCTGAATACACATACAGCCCCTGTTGGCTCCAGTGGTTGTTCCATATCAAGTCTTGATTGAAAAGATAGGAAGAGGAAAAATACATTTCAGTGTTTGATGTCACAAACAGATTTTGGTAATGTTCAAAAAGGAAAATGATCAATGGAAGCTAACATTTACTTTTGTAGGGATACTGTTCCCTTCAAAAATGCCTCAGGGCTATCATTGTAGTTGTACTCAGTTTCACAGTAGACTGACAGAGCAGAAAAAATAATAATTAGGCAGGAGAATTTCTGATTTAAATTGATAACATTTCACTAGCATCTGGAACTGAGGAGCAACATGAGCAGAAACTAGGGAAATTATTTGGAATAATGCCATAGGTCTTTTCTGAACCCATCTGTTCCCCCGCAGTTAGTCCACAGCCACATTGGAAGCCACATCTCCCTCTGCATTGCATCCTGCTCCCACTTTTCTCCTGCATCGCAGCTCTTTCCATACTCTGCATTGTTTTATGGCTGTTTGGAGGTGACTTCACAGTCATCACGGAGTTGCCCAGGGGTATCTGAAAGTGGTTTCTCCCAGGACCTTTTTGCTTTTTAGCTTCCGATTCAGAAGGAATAATAAGCAGACTATTTGACATGGCTTTAGACATCTCCACCCATTCCCCCATTCTAATTTCCACTTCTATTTAATTTTCACCTAGCACACAACTAGGAGGGCAGGTATAGGCGCAGCCTGGGGAGGTCCTCTGGAAATTTGATGCTTCTAGCTTGCGGGGGGCGTTTGACACCCTCCTCCATCTTTTGTACATTAGACCCTGGGGAGGGATCTTTTCCCTTCTCCAAAGCCAGTCTGCACACAACTAGGAGGGCAGGTAGAGGGGCAGCCTGGAGAGGTCCTCTGGGAGTTTGATGCTTCAAGCTTGTGGGGGGGGGGGATCTGACACACTCCTCTAACTTTTGCACATTGGACCTTAGGGAGGGATCTTTTCCCTTCCCCAGAAGCCAATCTGCACACAACTAGGAGGGCAGGTAGAGGGGCAGCCTGGAGAGGTCCTCTGGGAGTTTGATGCTTCAAGCTTGTGGGGGGGGGGCATCTGACACACTCATCTAACTTTTGCACATTGGACCCTAGGGAGGGATCTTTTCCCTTCCCCAAAAGCCGATCTGCACACAACAAGGAGGTGGATGTATTAAAAGGAATGTCAGGATTGCCCATTGGAAACAATGGAAGAGGCTTTAAGGCCCCTTTTTCAATTAAAACCCTTGGGATGCCACCCCTCCCAACAGACCAGCCAGTCGCTGAGCTGGCATCCCTCTATGGGTCATGCATGCCTGGAGTAGCTCAGTGGCAGCTAGCCAAAAGAGATGGGAGAGCAGGGAGGAAGAGAGAAAGGGGAGGGTGCAGTGTGCCCCATCCCTTGCTTACACACTTGGCCAATTCAGTGGCAATGGGACACCCCCTCCACATCTTCTCCGATATGTACCCGGGAGAGCCTTATGCTCTTTGAACAACAACTTGCTGGTGATCCCTGGTCCTAGAGATGTCCAGCTGTCCTCACCAGGGCCAGAGCCTTTTCAGTCCTGGCCCCAACCTGGTGGAACTCTCTGCCAAATGACATCAGGGCCCTGTGGGATCTTATGCAATTCTGCAGGCCTGTAAGCAGAGATGTTCCACCAGGCTTTTGGTTGAGGGCAGCAATGGTTACCCACTGGCTGGCACCCTTCTTTCCTCTCCCCTCCAAATTCTGACTTCCCTTCCCCCCACCTGGAAGAAAAAGGGACCGATAGTCCAGAACCGGGACCCATAATAATATAGGGAAATTGCCATCTTGATTTTTTATCTGCACTGAGATGTTTCTAATGTTGTGTGTAAATTTAATGTTTTGTATTTGGGGCCGCAGTGGCCACTGTGTCTTGTACATCATCCAGAGCCTGGCACGAGCCAGGATGGGGTGATTAATACTACAACAACAACAACAATAATAATTCAGGTAATTATTCTGCTTGGTATATACCAAATGAACACCCCTATCCTACACATAATTTTTTGCTGGATAAGTTAGAGGTTTAAGGTCCATGAGCACAAGTATAAAATTTACGGCCATATCCCATTGCTTTGGCAAAAAAGGACACTCTATCTCATTCCATTCATTTCTGAGAGTCTGCAGATCATATGTATTAATGACATGAAATATTTATAAGCAAATACTGTAGGTTTCATTTTCTGCATTGATTCAATTAGAATTATCAAGAGGAAAGGAGATTCTGAGACACATAGTGCTGCAGGGCCATATTTAAATACCAACAGATGTTGCAGTTGTAAATGCCGCCATTCAACAGAGTTTGACAGATCTTTATGGTTTTTTTCTTTAGTACAAGATCCTTAATGCTGGCTTGCTGATCATTATTTCAACTGGTTTTTTAAAAGACTACTGGGTCTGGGGAAGTGCATAAGCGTACTCGAGACATTTTCTCTCTCTTTAGATTGTGGTAAAATCTAAGCCAGTAAATTAAGAGTGGTTCTGGGAGATAAGTAGTTACTCCCACTGAGTTCCAGAGACCATTTTGAGAGCATGGGCTATGTTCAAGATGGACATGTGTCATATACCAGAATATATGCAGTGAAATACATTATGCCAACAGAGGATTGTTTACATTATTAAATTTCTTCTCTGTATTTCCATGCAAAAGGATCCCAATGACAAGTTTATACAAATCAAATGTAGACCTTGATGCATTTCTAATGGTAATATGAATAAAGATTTAATTTAATTGTGATCTGAATTATACCTGTTTCAATGAAGTATAGTTGGATCCATCAGTACTAATTTTTCTTATTTCATGATGATCTGCCAGAATTAAGAAAGGCTCTTCATCTAAAATACAGGAAAAGAAAAAAAAATACTACTCATGTTTTTAATGTATAGAACTTGAGAATAGAAAGTCCAGAATCACATGTGGTTGAAAATAAAATGCTACATGCTGTGAAAACTGTTATAAATGAAAGGAACATTAAAAGTATAATATTTCAAGAAAGATCAATGATGCATCATAAACTGAACAAGAGATTCAATTAGCATCTCTTTCATAGTACTTTAATTTAGCCTTTGTAATACAGGAAATGTATTAGCACTCACAATAATTTCAGTTCCAAGATAAATTTAAACATAGTTACTCAGCATGGCTTTTAAGGAACAAATAGGTAGTAAGTAATGTTTGACATTAGAAAAGGTAGAATTTCCAATTCTGTCAAACAATTCAAATTAATGAACACTACTATTTTACAGTAGTGGTGAGCTAAGCAGTTCTGGGGGGAAACTTTAATGTTAATAAATCTATAAAATGTTTCCTATGCCTGTGGAGTAAAGTTCCAGTTACTGAACATTTATATAACGTCCTGATAATAGTTTTTAAGAAAATTGCAGTTGCGTATATGCTGAGCAAAAAAACTTCTCATAAGTAATGTATGTATTAGGTTGACCTGCAAAGATCCTCATGAATGGGAATTAGTAAATATTTGACTCAGAACTGGGCCTATCCTTTTTTTCTCAAGCAGCCTGCATGAGTTCAACCAAGGAAAGCTTCTTCTGTCCTTCACTACCAAGTCTAGGCATAAAATGGCCAGATCTTTTGAAGTGGAGATCTAATGGTATAATTTGATTTCTAGAAAAAATTGATTTCTAGAATAAATCTAGAATCACATTTCTAGAGTAATTTGATTTCTAGAAATTAAGAGCAATCTTGAGCAGGTCTCCTCAGAATTCTACTGGGGTCTATTTAGTAGGCTAACTCCTAGGAAAAAGGTTCATAGGATTGCACTGTAAATGTTATTCTGCTTTTAGTTTTCTTTCACCTATACAATAAATTGTATATGAAAAAATATTATTATAGAGTTGTCAATAATCATAGCATTCTGGGTCAACTCAAAGAGTGATGGGGGATGCTATAGTCCTTCAGTCTGTTGTTTGAACTTTCAAAATATATGGTCTGGTACAAAGAGTGATGGGGGATGCTATAGTCCTTCAGTCCTTCATTTGAACTTTCAAAATATATGGTCTGGTTATGTTAAGAAGGGTGGACAAGTAGCTAGCTTCTTCTGGGATTTTTCATACAATATAAATAAAACATTCATGCTAAAGGGCAGGCTGGGGGAGGAGGAGTTGATTTTATACCCTGCTCTTCACTACCCGAAGGAGTCTCAGAGAGGCTTACCATCTCCTTCCCTTCCTCTCCCCACAACAGACACTCTGTGAGGTAGGTGGGGCTGAGAGAGTTCTTAGAGAACTGTGACTGTCTCAAGGTCACCCAGCTGGCTTCATGTGGAGGAGTGGAAAACCAAGCCCAGTTCTCCAGACTAGCATCTGCCACTCTTAACCACTACACCAAGCTGGCTCTCTGCTGTTGCTATTGTCCCAGTGCCTTAGCATCAGTAACAGAGTACAAGAAGAGTGAATAAATTCAGTCTCAGTCCAGAGAAAATGGAAGTGATGATTGTAGGAGATACGGTGTAAGAAAAGGAAAGTCTAAAATTAAAAGGGTTAAAAATATGCTCAAAAATCAAGTTTAGTGCTTGGAAGTTGCCTTTAGCTTCTGTCTTGCTCCTGGCTGTGTAGACTGTAGCCCTGAGTGTCAGAAGAGGAAGACACTGGCAGTTTGGTGCGACATGGGACGGCCTCGAATTGTACTAGTTTAAAATTTTGCAAGGCATAACACCCAGACAGCACACCCTGCTGTGGGTTACCCACGTGACCATCTGGTGGTCAAGTATTTACATTACTGCGGTGCCTCAGCCACAGAGTGTGCTGCCTGATCTTTTTTTAAAAAATGCAGGTGGATGTGTGCATATATGGACTCATGTGCATATGCACTTGTGCACATATGCATGAATAGGCAAAAACTCCCCCCCCCAAAAAAAAAACCCCTCACAGTGGAAATGGATCCACATGTTCAGGCCACCAATCCATTCTGCACACGCTCCCCCACATTCAGACATCCAATGAATACGTAGGGAAACAAAAACACCACGTGTTGTGGTGCCTTTTAACCTGGCTCCAAGTCGTCCTACGGCGGGGTGAGTATGCCTGGGGAACGCCTGACAGATGTGGCTGTGTGACTGTGCCCATTTAATACAGAGGAGAGGGGTGGCTATGTTGGGCCAAACTGCTTGTGTGATCACACCCACTGTATCTTAGCCTCAGACTGCAGACTGGGGGGGAACAAAGAGTTAGTTAGCTGGACTGGCAGACTTTGGGTTTCCTTCCTGTTTGCTCTCCCTTCCTCTGTCCCCTTGGATGTGTAGACTGATAACACAGGGAAATTACCTTTCGTCTTTCCACTCTCTCTCTGACTCTCACCCATACACACAAAGAAAGAAGCACGCCACGGTCCTTCTTTGCCACAGTGGATGCAGGATCCCCCTTGAGGTCGTCATCCTTCCATGGAAGTTAGATTAGACCCTATTCCTGTCTCTAAGCTTTCCTATCTAGAATGGAGTTCCTAAATAAAAGGGACTATTATTAGTCTTAAATAGACAAAGTGCCTCTGTGTAACTTTGTAACTCCGCTAGCACACTCAGTACGAAGCGCTTCTACTGTGTGTAGCCAAGGTGCACTCTGCTAAGGAGAAGGGATACAGTTACTCCCAATACTGAGGGCTTTTTTCTGATTGGCTACCTATGTCCTCTGTTGAAAGACAAAGATCCATACTTCATTGGAAGTATGTGCTGGTGGAGGCAGTTTTTCCATGTCTCCCCTGTGTCTGAATATCCACCTACAAACACCAAAAATGGTGAGGGACCAACACAAACTAAAACCACTTCAAAAGGATGGATGTATTGAGGAGAACAAAATGGGCAAAATAGTGTCACCAGAACATCTAGATTAATTCCTAAATTAGACTACCGTGATGCGTTTTACACAGGATAGTATTTGAATATGATCTGGAAAATTTGGCTAGTGAGAAATGCCGAAGCTAGGTTTTCGTTTGATATGAAAACAACTACGTCAACTTCTTATATGATTTTCGTTCAGATTCAAGGTGCACCACGTTAATGCTTTTCTGCATTGTCCTGAATATCCTTCTGCATTTTTATTTTAGTAATCTGATGGTGTAGTGTTTTAATATATTAATCTGCTTTGTTATCCTATTTATTACAAGCTATTACAAAATATTTTAAAAGCAGCCTTTTATTATTCTATTAATAATAAACAAAGAGATTGAAAAAAGGTTTCAGGTACTAATGCATGGTAGCACTGGGATCCCTTAGTCATGACTGTGTGATCAGTGTGGTGGATCAGCACCTTATAATTTGCCCATTTTACAGTTCTTTGGATATGTCTTCCAAGCAATAAACTACCTACCTACCACAAAATTATCCTACCTTTCCTCCACTTGCACCTGGCTGGATGACCTTGGGCAAGCCATAGCTCTGGCACAGCTGTTCTTGAAAAAGAGCAGTTTCTGTCAAGAGCTCTCTCAGCCCCACCTACCTCACAGGGTGTCTGTTGTGGGGAGGGGAAGGGGAAGGAGTTTGTAAGCCGCTCTGAGACATCTTCGGGTAGTGAAGGGCGGGGTATAAATCTAATCTCTTCTTCTTCTAAGGAATTCAAGCTGCCATACACATGTCTCCCATAAATCCAATCTCTTCTTCTTCTAAGGAATTCATGCTGCCATACATATGTCTCCACTTCCCATTTTATCTTTGCAAGCATATTGTGAGATCTTAGGCTGACAGTATATGCATGGCTCATGGACAACGAATGAACTTCATGGTGGAATGGAGCCTGAACCTGCATTTCCTCAGTCCTAGTCTGACAAAATAACGTCTTCACCACACTGGCTTTATTATACCAGTTATTTTGTTGGAGGGGTGGGTAACCTTTTAGCACAGAACTATGTTAACTAAAATCACTTTACTTTTGAAGGGTTAGCTTAATTGTTTCTTAATATTTGGCTTATAATGTGACTTAATATTACTGTGGAAAAATAAATAGTGGTACCTGAAAGAGATTTGCAGCCATTTGGATTATTAGATTGCACTTCATAACCATCTGCACACAAACATTTGTAGGTTCCATATGTATTGATGCACTGCTGGCTGCATGGAAAGCCAGAGAGGCATTCATCAATGTCTACACATGTTTTGCCATCATCCTTCACGTGAAAGCCAGGCCAGCATTTACACTAAGAAATATAAACCAAATAGACATTAATTACACTTAAAGTTACACATACATGTCCCCCAGCCCTCTATGTTATGGTTTTCTTCAGAAAGCTTGTGAAACCCCAGACATCCAAGTAACATTTCATCTAAACCTCTAACAATAGCACATTATAAAAAAGAAAATCTCACAGCGACTTGGATGTCCCACACTGAGCCTTATTTAGCTACCCAGTAGCAGCACTTACTCATGTCAGTGAGGCAGAATTCAGGTGGGAAACTAGACATTTTTGAGGATCAGCTGTAATTGGCTTAGGTCTCTAGTTTGACTCCTTTTCCCATAAAGCTTTGTAGTATAGCTGCTCTCAAGCAAGCTCTGACCTGACAATGCATTCTGTCCTACAAGAATTGTTTTCATTTTTTAGGTTTCAGCCTCAAAACAAAAACAATTGAGATGTCAGGGTATGTGGCTCCAGAATCCTGCCTTGACATGGGAAAGGTGTTTTTAACCTCGTAGAGTATGAGGTGAGAAGGAAAGGATTTGGGTTTCATCAGGCCCACCCCATTCCTTAATTGACAGCTACTCTGGATTTTTCTTCTATATAATGTCAGTGTCTGACATTGTTTGGGGCCTTTTGCCAACATTTCCCTTGTGGGTTTTGACAGGAGGCCGGAATGCATATTCCTAAATAGACATAAGTTCACTCTTTTTAAATAAATATGGGATTCTTTTCCTTCTGTATGATGAGTACTGAAATTGCTACTTGCTTGAAAAAATTGCATTATGATTTTATCTTTCAATAAATAGATACTTTGGAACAGTTCTCTCTCTCTCTCTCTCCCTCTCTCTCCCTCTCTCCCTCTCTGAAATGATAGGGTCCCTGCCAGTTTCCAACCCCCTCCCCTATCAAATTGAAGATGGCAACCAAGAAGTCGGATTATCTTTCCTATGAAGAAGAGTCTGGGACTTGCCAGTTTATTTAAAATAAGATGACTAGGGCCCTGTTCACATGCCGAATTTGCCACAGGAGAGCCACGAATGCTGGGTGGATTTTCAGGTCATGATCACACCGCAACATCTGGCAAGCATAGAGCACCCGTGGCCAACCCGTGGCATGCTGCCGAAGCTGCACAGTTAAAAAGTATCTCAACAAATGTACTAGCAAATGGTTTGCCATGGGCTGCCGATTGAATCATTCCATGTGATCGTGCCGGCACATGGCTTTCCCCGGGCTGTCCTCCTTGACACGCACACACTGACGGATGAAACCACGGTGTGCTGCTGTTGTGTCTGATCGCGTTCTGGTGGGTCTAATTGCACTGGCGGAAAGAGCCACGTCTCCCCCCCACGTTATCCGGCTTGTGTGACTGGGGCCTAGGGTGGAATATGGTAAAAATTTATAAAACTACGCCTGGGGTAGAGAAAGTGCATAGAGAACACAATTTCTCCCATAATAAGAGAACTTGAGATGACTCGATGTAGTCAATGGGTAGTAGATTCAGGACAGATAAAAGGAAGTGTTTCTTTATTCAATTACTAACTATATTGAGGAATTCACTGTCAGTAGACATATGCCACTAGCAAATATGACTTTAAAATGGGGACAGACAGTTTCATGGAGGATAGCTCCATCAATGACTACTATCCATGGTAACTTAAAGGAAACTCTATATTCAGAGGCAGTGAACCACTGACTATCAGTGGAAGGCCTTCGTTTATATGCCTTGTTAGTTGGCCTTTGAGGATGACAGGTTTACTACTGTGTTTAACAGAATATTGGATTAGATGAACCACTGCTCTGATCCAGCAGGGCTCTTCTTTTGTTTCCCCCATTAGTGGCTACTGCCATATCTCTTCTCAGAGGACAGATTGCTGCAAGAATCCCTATCTACCATATCCCATAAAGGAAAGTAATTCTGTCCCTTAAAAGCCCTGGATATATTACAGCTGTATGTTCTTCCACAGAATATTGATGCAATGGGGAAAATGGCACATGCCAAAGCACATGAACTCCAGAAGTATACAAACGTACTATACCCTTGAGGATATACTCATACTAGATAAGCAAGGTGTTTCTGAGTTCATAGTATGTAGGCCCTAAATAAAAATCTACCTAATCGTTTATCAGGTCTATGCCTTTTTATTGTTGTCAGACTAGGTAGGCATTCCTAAGGACTGACATGAAAAGCCAAACATCATCGAGTTCAATGTCGTCTGTGTTCATGGAATAGAAAAAGATGGAAAACAATAGAACTGTGCCCTTTTTATTTGATTATTATTTTAAAAGGAAGTGTTAAATTAGAGTTTGACATAATTACTGAGTATATGTAAATCAAATTTAAGATAGAAAACTCTTTTCATAATATTACACACCATGACTACCAACCTTGTACCCAACTGGAAGATCTTGACAGTCTTGAGAACAGCCACTGATTTTCTTACTCAAACATTCATTAATATGACAGTTTCTCTCATCAGATCCATCACCACAATCCTGCTTAGTGTCGCAAACATCTTCTTGGGGAATGCATTTGCCATTTTTGCACATAAAAAAGGAACTGTTGCATGACTGTTCTAAAAAAAAGAAAAGAAAAACCAAAAGAAAAAAAAGATACATATGTATTGCAAGAAATGTATCAAGAACCATTTAGATTTTAAAGTGAAGGCTGCATCTTGATTTATGAATAAGCAGGGGTCATTTCCTGTGGGAGCGCACAGGAGCGGAGCTCCGGCAGTAAAGAGCCCAGGGGGTGGGCACATGCAACAATCCCCACCCCCTGCTCCCAGCAACCCTCAGTCAGAGCAGGAAGCAGCCAGGTAAGTTGCAGAGCTCCACATGGTCCAAAACAGTCCAGTGGCACCTTTAAGACCAAGTTTTATTCAGGTACAAACTCTCCCTCCTCTGCGAGGACAGATCTGCACATCCCCCTCCAATAGCTAGCAATCCAAAAAAGTCCAGTGGAGCCTGAGCCATGGGTGTTGCCTTCTGACACACTTCCGGTGATGTCAGGGGGTGTGGCATATGCACATATGTTATGCTAATGAGTTGTGCTGAGCTCCTGCACCTCTTTTTCTACAAAATGACCCCTGTGAATAAGGCATACATTAGTTAAACAGTGATCATAGCCCTGTTGATATATGGTACAACCCAGCAACGGATAATTTGCTGTTGGTTGTGACAAGCAGAATGTACCACTTAGTATGCAGGCAGTAATTAAGTATTGTGGTAGTAAGATTCTAACTACTTACCATTACTTTCTATAATCCTCTCTCTATGGCTGCGGTCAGACATGCCATATGGCATGGTCAAGAAGTGCTCCTATTCCATACATTGGTATTTGACATGGGGGTTCAATTGCTCGTTTATGCACATGCCTGAGCATGCCGTCTGATAGTGCAGTGACGGGCTGTGCCCACAGCAAAACAGATTATACTGGGATATGTGATCACATATCCCAGTATAATATGTTTTGCTGTGGATGCAGCCCATCACTGCACTATCAGACGGCATGCTCAGGCATGTGCATAAATGAGCAATTGAACCCCCATGCAAAGAGTTCTCCATGGATCAATTATGTGGTGATGTGCATATCACTAAGCAGGAAAAAAAGTGCCGATTTGGGATGGACCAAGCAGTCCATCCCAACAGCCTGAATTTGTGCTTGAGTGATCACACTAGGGAAAATCTGTCCATGGCCCAATGGCAAGTGTTGGGACCGGACTTTCCCCAGTGCCTTTTAACCCCATTTCTGTGGTGGGGCAGCACGGGTTGCCGATGACTGCAGGACATTTCCCAGACGTTGCAGTTTGATTGTGCACTTTAGATCTGCCAGGTATTCAGAGCCAAGTCGGATCTAAAGGCACATCTGACTGCAGCCTATATTTTAATTTCCAATGCACACAGAGGGTTGGATCCAGCACAAAAATTCTGCTTGTGCTAGAGCTCTTGAACAGCAGAAACTCAAGAAAAATACCACAGTTGGTGTTCATGCCAAGTCATATTGTATCCTCACTTATGCTGCCACTTGCTCAGGATTTTGTGAAACCAATTCCTGAACAATATGACATATAGGGAGGAAAGCACTAGATGTTGCACAAGATTTAGTGCAAGCAGAAATGCACTAAGTCCATTTATCATTCCACTTGTGCATCTCTGGATCCAAGCTTCAGTCAATATTATGTGACAATCCATCTCAGTCCCCAAGACACAAATTCGTAGATATATATTCTTAAGTCTTATAGCCCATCATACCTCAAGAATTCATGGAGGACAGCAATATGGTATTTTTATTCTTTCCCATCAAAAATCAATTTGAATTTTTACATGGCACTATGCAGCATCCATCTGGCCCACTAAGCTGTTGTAAATTCCACTCACAGCTAGAGTCTACAACCTAGAGTCTAGTAAAGCTCAATTTTAATTAAGAGAAGATATCCTGTAAATTATCTAGATTTACAGATGCTCACCATTTTGTATGTTTTACTGTCTATAGACTACAAATATATATTACAGAAGCCAGAAGGGAAACTAAGTATATTTTCATAATTTTTCCACATATTTAGACCATGCTAGAAAATAACTGCTGACACTAGAGTTATTGAGGTACATACTTACCTATTCCTTGGGTAGATTGCCCTTTTTCTATGTAAGAGAATGCCCTGATACAGAAAGGTTAATCAGGACTCTTTCCTGATCAGCTCTTGGGAAGGGGCTGAACCCAGGTATCCTCTTTCACCTCCTTCTCAAAAATATGGAATGGAATGGAAAGTGCTGTCAAGTTGCAGCAGACTTACGGCAACCCCATAGGGTTTTCAAGGCAAGAGACAAACTGTGGTGGTTTGCCATTACCTACTTCTGCATAGCAACCTTAGACTCCCTTGGTGGTCTAAGTACTAACCTGGGCCAACCCTGTTTAACTTCTGAGATCTGAGGAGACTGGGCTAGCCTGGGTCATCGAGGTCAGAGTCCTCAACAATAACAAACTGTTTAACAGACTAGCACCTTTAGGTGCAGTCCTGTCTCTCATAGTTACACTAAAGGTTTACTGAATTCATACCAGTAAGTTTCCATGTAGTGAGCTGAGGCAGAAAAATGACACCCCAAAATGTGAACACAGAGAAGACATGGGAAGATACGCTCAGTAACCAAGACTTGCTGAGAGCTCTTTCTTTTAATCTTTTCCTGCATAATTCAGACTTTCTTGCTTTACATGTTTTACCAGCAGACCATTGAACTGAATCATAGAATCACAGAGTTGGAAGGAGCCATACAGGCCACCAAATCCAACCCCTGAACACTGCAGGATCAGCCTAAAGCATCACTGGCTAGAATTTTTCCAGCCACTGCTTGAAGACTGCCAGTGAGGAGGAGCTCACCACTCCCTAGGCAGCCATTTCCACTGCTGAATGACTCTTACTATTAAAAAAAATTCCTACTATTCAGTCATTACTTTTCCGCCCATAATTTAAACCCATTATTGTGACTCCTATCCTTTGCTGCCAACAGGGATAACTGTCTGCCCTCCTCTAGGTCCCTGATCACCCTCATCACTCTCTTCTGTACCCACTCCATTCTGTCCATATCCTTTTGAAGTGAGGTCTCCATAACTGCACACAGTACTACAGATGCAGCCTGGCCAATGCGGTGTACAGCGGGATTATGACATCTTGTGATTTGGATGTCATGCCTCTGCTGATACACCCCAAGACTGCTTTAGCCTTTTTTGCCACTGTATCACACTGACTGGTCAATACCAATGGACCATCAAATACTAAGAAAAATAAACACTATCTTCACATAAAACCAAAATTAGACTTATATTGAAAAAGTTCAACCTGCACTTTTGCATTTTGTGTTAATTGGATGTTCATCAGAATGATCTGGACAATCAAAATCTCCATCACATTGCCACTGAGAATTTAAAAGACATCTTCCATCAGCACAACGGAATTCTCCAGGATTACAGTGGCGATAGCCTAGAACAGAATGATCAAAAATGCATACTTCAGAAATTTAGTACATATTCACAAAGATATGAAATTAGTAGCAATGTCTTTCTGATTGATAAATATATATGTATAATATATATGTATACTAAAATCCTCATCCTCAGGTTGAGAAGTCCTTCTGTTGGCTCCTTAGCAGAAGGGACCCTGTATGTTAAAATGTGCTGTTTAAATTAATTCCACCCTCTTATAGAACATGGCTTGAACAATAAAACCCAGGAGAATGTTATGCACAATCTTCTGGTATTCAACCACTGATGCAGTTTCAACAACAAGAACAAGTTTCAACATACCTAGGACTGGTGCCAGGATTTTTTGTGCCCTACGCAAGACTAACTACTTGCACACACCCCCGCTAACCAATTTTCAAAAACAGATGAATTCTACATAAAATGAAAAGCACAAAACTTGAAATTGCTTCATCCCAGTCCCAGAACACATCTCCTACCCGCAGGGACTGTCATTCCACTCTGGCGCCTGTCATTCCAGTCCCAGAACACATTTCCTACCCTCGGGGCTGTCATTCCACTCTGGGGTCTGCCATTCCAGTACCAGAACACACCTGCTACCCCCATGGACTGTCATTCCAGTCTCAGAACACTACTATTACTACTCTACTATACTACTATCTTACTACTACTACTATCCCCAGGGACTGTTATTCCACTCTGGGGCCTGTCATTCCAGTCTCACAACTAATTCTGCTAATTCTGTTCTAGCCAACTGTATAGAGTAGTCACCCTTGGTAGATTTATGACAGGAGGATTCACACTGTTTACCTCAACTTCCTCCTTTTTTACTAGAAAATTTACACCTGATAGATGTATGACAGATTTCACACCCTAATGCTGATTGTCAGTTCTGCCCTCCTCTGATATCTGCACTCTGGGTGGTCACCTAGTTGGCCTACTGGTAGCAGTGGCCCTGAACAGGTACCCATGCCATATTCTATTGCTAGGGGTTATTGTAACTATTTTGACAAGCCAGAGAATACAGTACACAGGTCAGCAATCCATGTTCTGGAGCTATTGAAGTAGATCCCCCCAGCCATAGCAGCACTGATGAAAGTAGAATGACAGCAGAATTGTTCTGGAACCCAGGCTTGGTTGAAGTTTGTCAAATATGAGAGGATGAAGAGTATCTCCATAGTACTCTGCAGCATTGTGTGAATTAGGTGTAAAAAAACCTTCAATTCTGCAGTAGAAATGTGGGTTTTTAAAAATTTAGTATTTAAAGCTATTACAAGAAATAAGAAATGCAAGTATTTCATTTTGAGCTCCTGAGTTTCCAAATCCAACATAATCCCACAAAAGTTACCACAACTCACCTCTTCCAGTACCTTCACTATATCTTTCCAATTTTACCATCAACTGTGTATATGTAAAACGTTATAATATGGTCTGTTGACATTTGACTGGCCTGTACTCCTATCGAATTGGGGTATATTTCTCAAGGAGATTGTCTCTCTTCAATGTTAGATACAATTTTCAAAGAGATGCACAAATAAAATAATTGTTTGGGGAGGTGAAGTATTCATCTACAGAAATAACAGAGGAGTCTTAGCAGAACTCCTTTAGAGTAAGGAGAAATTTAATACCTGAATTCACTTTCTTCAAATGATTTTATACCATGGGGGGGAGAGTTCTTCCCTGTCAGCAGATGGAGACAGAGCATTTGAACTTCAGTGTTAAGACACCTCTTTCACAATCCTCGGTTTATTGTTTGAAAAGTACTAATTACTACAGATGCCTTAAAACAAAGTCGTATACTCTAAGATTTATAATGAGAAGAACTCAACAGACAATACAATTCAATTTTAAGATTATGCCTTTTAAATTTTAAATGGTCTTAGAGGAGGCAGTCTAGACTGGTATAGAAGAACTCAAAGAAGGGAAATTGACAGGTATTAAATTTCTTCTTGAGTCATTCTTCTATACCAAGCAAGATTCTTTGGACCTCCCATGTGCTGCTGTTGAATTCAAGAGCTTTATGACTGACCAAAGAATCTATGTAAAGAAGCTGTATCAACCGAATGGTTCTACTTTACCATTAGTATACATGCCTGAGACTCTGAAAATATTTGAAATGAAAATCTGGTAGACTACAGTGCAATCCTAAACAGGGTTATACACTTCTAAATCCATTGATGACAGAGTGTGACTGTTTCAAATTGCATTGCCAGTTTTAAATGCAGCATAGCTACTGCATTTCTGTCTTCATGACATATTCCTGTAATATAACATCTCACAAGCAGCATGTTGGGGATGAATGCAGTATCTTAACTCTAACTCACTCTTCAGAGTTGCAGTGCATTGAAGATCCATCTTGAGGCCCATTTTAAAAGACCATGCACATTTATGATACATGAAGGGAAAAAATCCTTAAAATTACAAATAACAGGATCCAAGAAGTAAGTTAACCTTGCTATGAAGAGTGTGGATTCTGCACGAAGATGCTCCCTATCTGTGCACAGGAGACTGTTCTTCAATAAATCAAGATCTCCACTGCAGAAAAGTTCCTCTTCTCTTTATGTATTCCCCCAAGTATATCCATGGAGGTGGCAAACCATCAAGGTACTGATTGCAAACAGGATTTTTGATTTTCTCTACTGGGGATTTTCTATTCTCTTGAAATGAAAATAGCATTTCTGAAAATATGAGTAGGAAACTTAGCCTGCATACACTCCAAGTAGCAAATGACAGAAGACTACAAAAATAGTTCTGTGATTTCTGTGGGTAAAGTCTCGTAATCCTTTTAAAATACCTGTATGTCCAAAAATGGTAAAATTCTATGATAAGCAATCCACAGAGCCAGCTTTTTGGTCAAATTTCATTGCTTTAAATCTACAGGGGGAAATTTGTGTTTGTATGTTTTATATTTTCTATGATTAAACTACTATAATTCATCAATACTGCAAAGGGTAATAAGGCACCAAGGTAAACACATTCATTTCCTATTCAGACTTGGCAACCACATTCCCTTCAAACTACTGTAAACTATAGTATTATAAAAAAGGTAATTTGATTCAATACAAATAACAAACAGTATACATAAAATAATGAACTAGCAAACCAATGGCTAGCAAACTTTGTCTCCTTATCAGAACTATCTTCCATATGTAGTTATGTCACTTTAAGTCTTTATTGTATATCATGTTCAGGAACTGTATGCTGGAAGGCATCTCAGCTAAGATGTAAAGTGTGTTTTTGAGCCATGGAGGAGATGAGAACTAGGGATGCCAACCTTCAGATGGGACCTAGAGATCCCCCAGAATTACAGCTCATCTCCAGACTATAGAGGTTAGTCTCCCTGGAGAAAATAAATGCTTTGGAGGGTGGACTCTATGGCACTGTATCCCACTGAGGCCCCTGTCTTCCACAAGCTCCATCCCCAAATCTCCAGGAGTTTCCCAATCTGGAGCTGGCAATCTTAGAGATTTTCCAGAGTATCCCTTTTTTTTAGTGGGGATGGAAATTAATCTAATTTATTTTTAAGAAGACGAAATTTCATACCAGGTAACACATAATACTGGTCTTTGGTGCATTCATTAAAAAGCATTTTTTGTTCTTTTTCAAATCATAATTATGGTTATATTCATATGGCAAATAGAAAAAAAATGACTTTGTGGCAAAGAAAAAATAGTATGATGTTAAGCGGTGGTTTTAAAACTAGTATGAGAAGCACATTAGACATGCAGAAAAAGAATTACTTCATATTTCTTGAGAAAATTACATGTCTATGATCTAACTGACCGAGTAGGAATATTTATCAAAATTTTATATGAAACAATAGTGTCTTAATAGAGGAAGCGAGGAAAACACAGAAGGTGTCAAGGATATAACATGGGCACAAGTGAGCCCATGACTTATTAACTTTCATCCTTTGTTCATACAGTAGTATAAGACCAGACCTTTGGATAGACACACTATCCCAGTAGTGTAACAGTAACAATGAAGACAAATAGGAATTATGAATTATTGGCAAACAGCAGGTTTATGTAGGTGAGTTAGGACTCTTATTTGAAAAGTAGAAGAATCTGACCTTGAACACAAAAACTCTTCATGAACCGCTTTTTATCTCAGGACATGTAAGCTCTTTTTTAGGCTTTCCCCCATAATCATGAGTTAAAGAAAAGGTAAATTGTAAATTTTTGGACTGTAGATATATTCAACTGCTGACTGTAATGAAAACTGTGTTTACAATAAATCGGGTGGACAATTTTGCTATCAACAATGTGTAGTATAACAATTTCCCCAGTGATAAAACTAAGTTTTCTATGTAAATGTCTAGCTTCACATTGAAGCTGGCATTTGGAATCATCAATTGCATCCCATGCACAGAATTTTCAAAATTAAAATTTCCCCATTTAGATTATAATAAAAGGTTGTTTGGGAAAAGGTACTGTATCACACAGAGGACATGATACTATGGGGAATGAATGAAAAACAAAACAAAACTTGATGTTTTCATTGTACCTCCATAACAATCACCTTGATACCAATGACTTAAGCTACTTAGCAGGAGGTTTAGTAAACTTGCCTTTCTAAAGACTTTTAATCAAAGGCATCCAATAACTGGGAGATTTCTCCCATTCTAGTATTATTAATAAACCTGAGAATTTCCCAAACATGCAACTGAACAAGAAGCAGTAACTAAGAATTCTATGAGACTCTTCAAGTACATAGGAATCTCACAACTTTGAAATTCAAATGCTCTGTGGTCTTCTGCTGACAAGGGAACAAACTGAAATGAACAAGAAAAACAAATACAAGTAAGTGGATTTAACACAAACATTGTATTAAAACATTTTTTATCTTATAATGAATGCCTTTTTTAAAAGAAAAAGCCTCCAAGATCAAAGTTGCATCAATTATCATCTCCTTTCAGGAACCCTTGATATGTCTCCGACAATTACCTATTCATTCAGCTAAGATAAACTAAATAGAATTAACAGCACATTGATTTAAACTACCGTAACTCTGCAAAGAGCTGCAGTGCAAAGTCGGTACATTACTCATTATACTAATTTCCTTGTTAAAATATATTTCATTTTCATTATATAGTGTTTTATTCAATAGGGAAACCCCTAGAATAAAAATAAATATTCAAAGAAATTAAGAAAAAAATTATTCAGCATTAAATATAAAACAGGTGTCAAATGTGTTTCTGTATCATTTTATTTTAGATCTGTCTAACCGTAATACTTATGTACATATGCCAATAAAGGTCTGTGTATGTGTATGTGAATACTTATGTATTTAAGTAATACTTGCCACATTCTAGTGATTCATCTGACCCATCTCCACAGTCATCATCATGGTCACATACAAACTGCTTGGGAATGCAGGCTTTATTATGGCACATGAAAGTGTTTTCATCACAAGTGTTATTAGGTGCTATGAAAAGAAAGGAAGGGGAAAAAAGATCCCTTAAGAACATAACACAGATGTTTCTGTTATTTGAAGGTATGATGAATCAGTAATTTACAAAGGAAAAAAAAATCATAATCACACAACTAAAACAGAAATTCCAAAGGACATACAACGGGAAATTAGAACTAGTTAAAATAATTTTCCATCTCCTGAAGGTGGACAATTAAATATTTTTGGAAAAATCAACACAGGCTCCGGTCACCGGGGAAAGAAAAGGCGGGGGGGGGGGGGAGCGTAGCTGTGTGCCCCGGGGCAAACAAACGCGTGGTTAAGCGATCAGACCTCCCGTGGAGGTCCTGTGGAGGTACCGTGGAGGTTCCGTGGGTAGGGAGAGGTGCTGATCACAGGACTAGCCTGCGCGCAACGAAGAAGCGGGCGGTGCAGCAAACTGGTGTTTTTGTTTTGTGTACCCGACGAATGCGCATGCTCCGTTGGGTGCGTGTGCGCATCCAACGGAAACTTGGGGGGGAAAACCTTTGTCGCAAGGGGACATGGGCGGGCGCCGGATGCCTCAGGAAACGCGATCAGACGCCCGCCCTTGCCCCGCAGTTTCCGGAAATTAGTACCTCCGAGGTACTGGCCAGACAGGAAATGGAGAATATGTGGCCTAGACTTACCCTGAAGCCACTTTGTAAACTCTGGGGCCAGGGATGGAGCAGCGAGACTGGTCATTGTGCCCAGTGTCTGGCAGGCCACATGGCCTGACCATGGGTGGGGCCCGGCAGTCACAATGAACCCTGGCATGCAAGATGCACTTCCAGGGGTTCTGGGGGGAGGGTGTCAGTGAGCTTGGCCTGTCTGCCCACCCCTCGGCATCTTTTCCATGCAGCTTGCTTTGTAGCTGTGGAGCAGAGAGGGGATGCACCACATGGTCTGCTTTAGAGCACAAGGCCTGACATGAAGGCTTTATGGGCTTTGTCTCTGATCTCCTGGGCCACACAGCTCCTCCTGGACCTTGCAACTTCACTGTGGGCCCTGTGTCACATGGGATAAAAGCAGAACCACAGATACTGGAAGTGGCAAAGCAGCGGTGGCAATGACTGTGAGCGTGCAAGAGTGGCCATTGGTGTTGGAGGAGATCCTGCCATGGTAAATCAAGGAACAGGTGCACTCCCTGTCATTCCTGGACAGTCTTGGGGAGCCATGGCTGGCCTGCCAGGACACAGCTGTCCCTTGGGCATCAATGGCTCTGGCCCTGGTGAGCAGGGCAGGGCTGGGGAGGGCATGGCCATCCCTTAGGAATTGAAGGCCAGGGACGCTGGGGAGTCGCAGCCATTCTGGGGGTAAGGTTTCCCGTAGGCATCATGGGTCTGATCAATACCACCATTCCCAGGAAGTCAGAGGGCATTGGGTGCCACATGGGGGGCCTTCACTTGGGACACTAGGGACCTCTGGAAGTTGGGGATGGGCAATTTTGCCCTAAAGGCACCGGGGTGGATCAGTATAAGGAATTTTCTTGTGGCTCTCTTGGGGAGGGTTACTGGCTGAGTGGTAGAGCATCAGTGGCTATGCAGATGGTTCCTGGTTTGGTCCCACTCCCTGGCATCTCCAGATACAAGGACCAGGTGGTAGGGGAGGAAAGTGACCTTATCCTGAGACTCTGCAGAGCCACTTCCAATCTGATTTGGTAATAAGAACTTTGCTGGACTTATGGCATGATTCTGTATAAGGCAGCTTGTTCATCAAGCATACTTACTTTAATCTAGTACCAGGCTAAGAAGATACCCCTGCCTTGAAATGGAGCCACTGCCTATCTGAAGGGATAAAACTGACATGTAGCATCCCATGGTACCACTGGGGGAGACATGCACTCACTGGGTCCAAATTCTGATTGAGATGCAGCGGTGCAGATGTGGCTTTAAACGGTTCTTCCAGGAGGTGCAGAAGCAGGGTTGTGGTCACTCCAGGCATGGTTCACTTGATATGATACCATTGATATCTTTGTCTGTTTTTGGTTCCAGGCCCAGGGCATTTATGGATTTACAACTCGCAAGTTATTATGTTGCTTTGTAATCAAGAAATTGACAAGTGACATGCCTCCCAAGAGACCTGCTTTACCCTGAAGCCACTTTGTAGCCTCTGGGGCCAAGTCCGGTCCAACACGCCAAGTCCGGTCCAACACGCACTGTGCAGGGACCTGCCATGGGGAGGGCCTCTCATGCCACTGCCCCTAGAGCAACACATAGTGCTCGGGGCCTCTCCCAATGGGGAAAGGCACAAGAGAGGCAACCTCAGGCAATGTACTGGTGCCCCTCACACATGTACCCACACCAGCAATGGCATCACACTGATGTTCAGGTCCATGACCACATGGCAGTTTTTAAAGGGATTACAAAGGCCATTGCTCAGATGTCAGAATGGTTCACAACAGCAATCCAGGAGCCAGTAAGGATCCTGCCACCTCCCTTCCCTATGGTAGGTGATGGCAGTATTCACCGGCTGTATATGAATCTAGTGATTTGAGGGGCAGCATACTGTAGCAGCCTCCCTTCGCCAAGAGGAGTTGAGCCAAATGGAATAAGTCTAGGGTTGCCAAGTGGACTTACCCCTCGCGGCGGGGAAGCCTCACCGCGGTCCGGGAGTTGTTGCTGGACGCGCGCGTGTTGCTGACATGCGACGTTGCTGACGTTGGGGGCGTGGCCGAGCTCGTCGGTGGGAAAACCATATGGTGATGCAGCTTTGGGGGCGGGGTTCCCCCTGGGGCCCAATTCCGCCGCGGCCTCCGAAATTGGGCCTCCGAAGCAGGGGATTCCCCGCCCCCCGGGCCCATTTGGCAACCCTAAATAAGTCCCAAAAGGCCTCTCAGGGAGCAGGACTCTCCCAGCACTGATGATACCCTCTGGGCCAGCCTTGTCCAGTTCAGGATATAAGTGACTACCATCAAGTCAACCCTCCCCCCTCTTCATCCATGCTGACAGGTCTTGCCACTCCAGGTTTCAGTTTGCCAGTATTATGCAAGCTTGCATTGCAGCTTTGGGACTTCCCCCCTCTGAGTTTGATGTGCACTCCTTCCATATAGGGCCTGCCACTGTGGCTTTGGAACTGGGTCTCCTCATGAAAAACAAAGGGCAATAGGCCATTGGTGCTCCACAGCTTACAGGTCTTACATACACCCTGCTGGTCAGACAGTTCACTAATGTTTGTGTGCTTTAATCACCTCAAATCTGTGTGGATCATGGGCCATAGCATTGTGTATGGGGCAGGGAG